GGGGTGTTCGCCTTTGGAATGAGACGATGTCGTAGTTTCTCGTTTTTTATTTCGCTAAAAGAAAAAACATTTATTAGATCTTCTTTTCTAGGAATGAGTGATTTAACTACGCTATCCGCTTTCCTCCTTCTCTCCTCACCCCACCTCCCATCTTTTCCCTAAAACTTCCATTACTCCTATTGTGTCTAGAATTCAAATATGACTTTGATTAGATTTTCATAGTTTTTGAACCTACAATTTTTTAGTTGTTCAAAAATGCAGTCCTTTCCAGAGGAAAAATCTGTAGTGCCACGTACTATTCACTTTGGCAATCTTTTTATGGCCATGGTGGCACTCATATTCTCATTTTGGGCAACTATGCATTTCTATGTACCTGATCATTTACCGCACTACGCAGGCGCTTGTCAATACGTAGGGATGGGTCCTGAGCTATTCCCTTGTGTTCGATGTGGTAAAGACGATACTTACTATCAATGTATTCAGTTTGATCCAATTCAACGCATCGCTCCCTTTCCAACCATGCCGCACCGTAGTCTTCCCATCGCCGCGGGCACCGAGAGTCTTGCCAAGGCTGAGAGCCATGTGAAGCAATTCTTCGACTCGATCGCGCACGAGCCAAGCGGACTTACGTTAAGCGACTTTTTTAGAGAATTTCTTTTCCAGAGCCGCATTCTTGCTGCTAAAGAAACCCTTCCAGAGGGTGGCCCTTCCGTAAAGGGGGACCAGACAACGCGTCCGGTGAAGGCAGCGAATGTACTTCATCTGTGTAGTGCATCGACTTGTGTGAACGCTTTCATAAGTCAGGCATTTGTCTCGAAAGCGGGACCGATGGATAAGTCTTCAATCTCACTCTTTGCCATTATCTACGGTAATGCCTCAATCGCTCGCGCAATCTCGAAAGAGCTTTATGTGAATGGCGTGCAGGTTTTGTCGTACTTACCGCGCACGGCAAGCCAATCAACCAGGGGGGATGCTGAATCGACACCTCTTTGTCAGCCACTGTACGGCGAACATTTCACCGTAGGGGCCGCGAAGGATGAGGTTCCCGTATCGGCTGTCCAAGTACATCCGTTCGGGCTTGGGTGCGCGTACTATGTGCACGAAAAGGCGAGTCTAATCGAAGCCGAAATGACCACTCCGCACTGCCAAGCTTCGGCGAATCAAGCCCGACGCCTTGACGAAAAACGCCGCAAACATGAAGAAGCCCATGCCCACTGGCCCTTGGCGGAAGTCCGACCCTTTTTTTTGGCGCCCTTTGGTGAAAAGGGCAACCACACCCTTCACAGCTTTCCGGTTGATGTCGTTTTCATTGATGTGGCCCCCACCGATGCGGTAGGCGTCGTGGCATACCTACAAGGCGTCCTGAAGACCGTCCAGGACCCAGGGCTTCTGCCTCGACATTTGATCATTTCGTTGGATGTGTCCGAGTGGGGAGGGGATATTCTCTCGGCCATCCACTCCCTCCACCGCCATCGCGGCTATGAAGTGCGCCCACTTCAGGGCGCCTGCACCGCCGCCTCCGGATGGATCGAGCCCCACACCTCGTGGGCAACAGTCTTTGTGGGTCTTCAGCCTTCGTTTTGTGGTCCCGACAATTCCACTGAGCGGCGAAATCGAGATTCGGGGGAGGCGGCGTGTATGCTTTTGCTCACGCGGGATCGCCAGGCCGCGAGCGCTTACTTCCACCTCGCCGCCTCCAGACGGTATGGCGAAAACGAAGGGATGCGCCGATTTTTTGCGGGCCCAACCCTTTCGGTGTTTCCTTCCTCTGGGAATGGCTCTCGTGCGCGGGATGGGGAGTTCGCGAAGTCCCAAGGTCAGCCTGAATCCACCGACACCTTTGGGTTGGGGATCACAGGCGCGTGGGTAATTTCCGCGCTCACTTCATGGTGGCCTTGTCTGCTGGTCTTAGGGCTCGTTGGGGTATTACTTTGGAACATGTCAAAGGCATGGCGACATCGAAGACGATAACGCGACCTTTTTCGTCTGTGTTTTTGAATGCACTGATGGATGCGGAACTTCAAAACCATTAGATTGAGACGCTTCACCTAGTTTTTTTTTCTGTTCGTGGTCTCATAAGTTAGCTTTATGCAATATTTTTTATCTCTACACTAGAAAAATTCATACACCACACTTGAAGTGATGCCCTCCTAGGACAATGCATACCTATTCTTGCACGTGTCAACAGTTTATATATATATATATATATGATTCCCTTGTAAACAATCTTCTATGTGTTGCACCTCTTCATTATTTCCTTTGTATTCCTATTTCTACCTGACAGGTCCTTTTTATTTTTTTTTTCCCCTGTAAAAAAAAAATTAATTATTATTAGCATTAGTCATGCGTACCCTCGAGTGTGAGTTCTCGCACTTCGCCGTGCACCCCGGCCACGGCCGCCGCTACGTACCCTTCGCGTTCCTGTCCACTAAGCCGGTGCTAACCTTCTCCAGCCCGAAGTCCTTCGCGATGTACCGGCGAAAGAAGAACCCGCGCTTCGTTCCGTGGACGCGGACCTTCCGCAGGATCAACCGGAAGGTCGCGACCGACCGCGTGACGCGCCGCCGCGCCGCCCGCAGCGTCCACCTGCCCCGCGCGATCGTCGGTGCGGATCTCTCCTACATCCAGGAGGTCCGCGCCCGCGCCCATAAGGAGGATCGCACCGCCCAGGCGAAGGCCGTCCGCGCCGAAATGGCGGAGCGAAAGGCCGCCAAGAAATAAAACCAAGGATGGTGGGATTGAAGGACACATGACTATAAGGACTACTCTTGTTATTTTATTCTAGTTTGATAATTGGTTTCGACGGATATCCTTTGGGATCTGCCTTATCGCGATGGATGCGCGGCTTCTGGGGATTGGTGTCTAAAAAAAGTGTCTATGAATGCCAATGACACTTCTATTCTATGTTCTTTTTTATTATTATTTCGTTTTTAGGGTTATAGATACGTCCTGCTTGCTTGCCTTTGTCGCTTTGGGAACTAGTGAATTTTATGGTTTCTGGAAGCTAAAAAAAAAAGGTAATAATAGCACCATTATTACTATTTAAAAGGGTCTTTTCGTAGTTTATCCTTTATATATATATATATATTCATTTATTTATATACTGCGGCGAACATGACCTCAACTGTGGCCGCAGTGACTCAAGTCCAAAGCCTGGCAGCGATTCGCAACTTCATTCGGGTATCCATTTCCTGCATCACGTACGCTCGTGGGTTGTGCAGTGATGACTCCTTCGAGCAACGAACCTTTTTAGGCTTGCCGCTCAAGCACATCATTCCCAATTCGATGGAGGCCACAACCATATCTAGGTGGATTGAAAAAGGGGTGTTTGATGCGCTGAATAAAACCTACCTCAAGGAGATGTCTTTGTGCGTGTACAACGGCGATTGCTCCGAGGCCCTAGAGAGCTATTGCTTCGGGTTTACCTACAGCGAGGATGGGCAGCATGCGCGGATGGCCCTGTCGTCGTCCCAGCAAACCCCGTCCGTCGACGCCGACCCCGCGCCGCCGGCGCCGCGGCGGCGGCGCTGCTCGAAGGCGGAGGTCCAGCGCGTCCTGGCGGCTGTCCTGGGCAAACTCCTCGAGGTGGTGGAGAG